AAAGCGAAATTAAGATAGAAAACAAAAGCGAATTTAGGATAGAAATTAAAAGCGAATTTAAGATAGAAATTAAAAGCGAATTTAAGATAGAAAACAAAAGCGAAATAAAAATAGAATTTCAAAAGCGAATTTAATTTAACGAAATCGGGCTAGACGGTTTTTACCAGAATCGAGATTGACGAATTTATTATTAACCCGGTAACAGTAGTATAATGATATTAATATATACATGAAAATTTAATACATGTACGTATAACTATTTTCTATTATTGTTCTAGTCGTATTTAGAAATTTGATCAATAGTAAAATTTGAATATACGTAATTGTAATTAAAAATTTTACTGTTTATCTGTCTTAGAATTCAAAACTACCATAATCAAATTAATAATAAAAAATATAAAGCTTAATATTTATATATCATTATATATATAGTTTGAAATATCCTGCTTTCTCAAAAAAAAAAAAAAAGGTGAAACAGTTAATCTCTTTATAGACACACACACTGTCAGGTCCAATAGTAATTTTTTTCATGGATGTAATTATAGCAGGGTTTATTATGAATGTGACTAGAAAGGTGAGTTTATTATAATTACGTATACGTAACAAGATTTTAACAGGGGTAACAATAACGAAATTTGACTACGTACAGTGAGCGCTCATTACAGTAACGTTCTTTAAATAACATCTCGTTATAACACAAAATCTCTCATTAATAAGCTTTCATTGTGTTTATTTTTCCATAGAGCAACATCTCGATATAATAACACCAAATCTCTTCTCATTGTATCAGCACTCAATGTAATTCATTTTTGAAAAATTGCTAAGGTATTTTCATCTAATAGTAGAACTATAAAGAGTATTGACTAGAGTGAATTAACAAATTTAATAAATTATTAAACCTAGTACAGATTAATTACAAAAATTTTAAATCTTATTCATTTTCACGAAAGGGCTACCGCGATTGCGCCACTAATGTTGCCGAGTGGGTTAAAAAAGTACGCTGAGTATCTGAGTTTCACCAACAAATCGAAATATTATAATAGTTGGAATTTTGATAGAACTTATCAAGTCTGTTTAAGCATGAACGTCAATCCGTAATTTGAACCAAATAATGAAATCTTGCCATACCGATACTTCATGACTAAAGTCAATATGGAAGGATTTCGATTAGAAGAAATTCTTCAATCTAATTTTGCAGCGGGCTCATGGTAACTCTTCGAAATTGTATGTTATCGGTTCGGTAAAGGGACCGAAACAAATACATGTATTGAGAGCATATTAAGATGTCTGCAATCCGTTTGCCAATTATACAGAAGAGAATTTTCATTCCAGTTCACCCAATCAATCCAGAAGTAATTTGTTTCGTTTTATTCATATACAGTTAAAAGTTCGCCAAACAAATAGTTTTCAACTCGGTAAAGAAATCCATACTGTAATCGGCTCCTTCACGGCCCAATCCTATATATCATTTGATAAAAATGATACAAGCTCATTATCATAAAATCCGAAGCAACTATTGCAAAATATGAATGCAAAAAAATGTTCATTACCACTGGCTTTTGTTCCACCAAATGGCATCCTCAAATCTCGTATCAACCAGCAGTTTACCCAAACAGTGCCAACTTGTATTGATTCGGAAACACGACGCGCGCGACGATCGTTTTCTGACCAAACAGAGCAACTTAAACCGTATGGACTATCATTTGCGTAATCGATCGCTTGTTGCTCGTCGGTGAATGGATGCACTGTGACCACCTTTATTTTGCATTCCGATATGAAAAATTAATTAAGAAAATGCTATCTCTGGCAAACTACCGAAAGATAAAATAAAAACTCACAGGGCCAAATATTTCTTCTTGAGCAACGCGGCTAGTCGGTGGCAATCTGACAAAAATTATAACACAATGAATAATAAATATAATGCAATAGTGAATTCAAATCCAAATTCGTGTTTACCCAGTGATTACTGTTGGCTCAACGAAATATCCTTCGCTTAATTCCCCCTGTAATATTTTACGTGAACCTCCACACTCGATCACACCTCCTTCTTGACGCGCTAAATCTATATACATTAGAACTTTCTCCATGTGCTTTAAATTATTCAATGCTCCTACAAAAGTTTTCGAGTCATTTGGATCGCCAACTACAAGATCACGTGCTTTGGGAATAAACGCGTCGAGAAACTTTTGATATATGGTTTCTTGTACGAAAATTCGAGAGCCACATAGACAAATCTAATTATAAGTGATATGAAAGAAGATAATGACAACAACAAAGAAATTTCAATCGTGAGGATGAATTTTGGAAAATATTGTTTATACCTCGCCTTGATTCCAGAATGAGGATCGAATACTCGTCTCGACTGCTTGTTCGAAATTACAATCATCGAAAATTATATTGGCATTTTTCCCTCCTGCAAAATATATCAGTAGAGTTAGTAATTTTGATATATTGCCAAACAAAATCACCCCGAAAACTAAAATCCTAATAATACCAAGCTCTAAAGAAAGTTTCTTCATATGCTTCACGCTACTAGCCATAATATGTTTACCGGTAACGGTGCCTTTATTATTAAATACAAAGTTTGTTGGTAAGATAAAGTGAGAAACCAATTAATGATGCATCTGTTTCTTACCTCCAGTGAAAGAGATTAATGGCACATTTGGATGAGTCACAAGCGCCTCGCCAGCGCTTTGTCCTAAATTTCGTTTTCTTATTCTCAATGTAAAATAATCTCGCTGCTAAAACAAAGAATAAATACAAACCTGAACCAAATACCATATTTACCACGCCATTCGGTAATCCGGCCTCCTTAAATACCGAGCAGAGCACTATATGAATTGAATTGTTTCAATCTGAATTATTCCATACGCTGATTTAAAATCTACATTTGTCTTTCGATTACTCACTATAAGCTGTAAGACTGGTGAATTCGCTTGGTTTGCAAACACAAGTGTTTCCACCTCAAAACGAAACGCATAGAGATTAGGACGTGATCAAAATCTAAACTTTTTTCGATTTTTGTACATACTTGCAATACACGGAGCAATTTTCCAAGTTAAAAGATAGAGCGGACTAATTGGACGTAAAAAGTTTCATAAAGGCTCGGATTCGATTGACAACATAAATTCAAAAAAAAGTACACGACTACTTACAGATTCCACTGTTAATTGCCATCAGAATAAAAACAAATTAAAAATTCGAGCTCTCGTTTACTTTCAATGAAAAATTAATTGTGAAACTTACTCACCGGCGAAATCAATCCAGCAACACCAACAGGCCATCTCTGCACATAACTCATAGCAACTCCATCAAGTTGTCCAACTTTTTCTTCAGCATGCAACACATGCCCAGCAAAATATCGAAAGTTATATACCGATCGATTAATATCAACATTTGTCGCGAATGTGATCGTTTTACCCTGATCACGCACTTCTGCCTCTGCGAATTCTTTCAAACGAGACTCAAGAATATCCGCTATACGGTAGAGAAAATTCGAACGACGAGTACGTGGGAGTTTTGACCATGTTTTAAAGGCAGCTTGTGCAGCTTCCACAGCATTGTTGACGTCTGCTTTGGTCGAGTCTGGAATTTTTACGTGAACCTTAGATGTGAATAGATAGATGTTTGATTTATTATACGATATTGATATATGTACAAGTGAATAAAGAAGCAGATCATTATTACTTTTCCAGTCGCGGGATTATGACTATCAATATATTGTCCTGTGTTAACAGAGTTTACAAATTCACCGTCGATAAAGTTTTGTAGAACTGTCACAGACATTTTTTAAAAAAAATTATCGATTGAAATCTACAAAAAAAATGTACGTATATACGTACTCACTTTATCTTTTCAATACATGTATTGGGTTGTGTGACAAATTCGATCATGCATGTACACAATAATGCACATGAATGAAGTTCATGTGCATCACGATCATATTCATACAAAATTGGATCAGAATGACGTATATAACAGTAACGGTAATGGTAATTGTTCTGAAATTATCCCTGTTGTTCCTGTGGCAGGAGCTCGGAAAAATTAATCAAAGATAATCGATAACTTGGAACAAATTGTGTCTTATAATCAATGATAGATTTTTTCAAAGCCAAAGATTCAACCATTCACCCTTTTCGATATCATGTCATGTCATATCCAGAACCAATTTGACTAGATACAGAAGAATTTTGCATAACACTTTTTACATAGCAGAGCGCAAGTTTATATTGTCCTCTTGCATTCCACTCTGTGCTGATTTGAAATATCATTCAAATGCTGTTTCTCATCTTGTTGATTTTCCCACTAACAGAACCAAGGGTACATGCATCGAACATCTCTAAATTTAAAATATTTCATTGCCAGATAATTATACCTATAAATAAGTACATGTAATAAAAATCAACAAATCGATAGCAATGATGTTTTCGATTTCAGTTGATCTAGTCAATTTTTTTGAATAATTTTATAAATTCTCTTCTTTTAATAAATATCGAGTTAAATAATAAAACTAATAAGAAAAATACAGTGTTTGTAACAAGAAAGAACACAATACCCGAACTTATCTGAATAAATAACAAGAGTGAATTCTGGGTGAAATTGTCATTTGCAGTTTGAATTTATATGAGAATATTAGTTATTTATGCAGTGATAATATTAATTTATTTTTGAATACATTAATTTATACAAATATAAGAGTGATTGTTAAAATTATTATATAATTTAAAGCAAATTACTTTAAAGTTTATAAACAAGATAAAAAATGAAGTGAAAGTTACTTTTTTTATTTTCACACTCTTATGGTGAGCAGTAGTGTTCCTATGAACTGAACCGAACCGGACTTTTGCCCGAGTTCGAGTTCGGTTCGAAATTCGAACCGAACTCGAA